ACCCATGTACAAATGTTCTTATTAATGAATGTAATGTATTAAGTAATTAATGTTGCATTTAATTGACTTGTTAGATTGCCTAAAAGTTCCCCTGATATCCCAACTAATCTACAACGCGTGATCACTGTCGTTCTCTTTTCATAAAGATAGTTTAAAAATTCTATTGGGCGCTCTCTAGTGTGTGTTCTCATTATTGCAAATGCTGCTATTAATTATGGGATGGTTCCAATAATTTTTTTTGATGATTTAATTTATTCATAACAGTAGAACAATTATTATTAAAAGATCCGACTTCAGCATGTTCTTCTAATTAACACATAGCTACCTTGAAGAGGAGCCAGTGATCTCTGTATCTTTCAAGCAAATTTTCATTGCAGTAGCGACTATACAGTTCTTATAATTTATATGGGGGGGACCCATCATACTTAGGCAAAAATTTTAGGATTTCATGCGGGAGAGGTTTAGAAGCAGACATGTTTTCGTTAATTGAAGGATATGAGGTTTCATAAACGGATTAGAACAATATATAATGAAAGTACTGACAGTAAGTCGATTTTGCTGAACTTCTGGCTTTTCTTCTTCTGACGATGTAGAAAGAGTCCGTCCTCTGTAGACTGAAGATATCCTCTGCTAAGTATGCCTTTTCTAGGCCAAAGTAGTTCGTTCCTCTTCTCAAGCTCGACGTTTCCAAGTAGGTCAGAAATTAGTGTTCTTTCTGGTTGATGGCGGATTAAGAGTTAACGCTCACGTTCTTTTTTTTTCGGGAAATCGATCACGGCACATGCTATGCAAATACAACCTAGTAAAAGTGGAGACCGCAGAAAGTCATGTTGTTGGTGTAGATTTTTGCAAATAGGAAAGGAAAAGCAGTCAAAGGCTATGGAAATCAATTAACAACCTGAAGCTGGCCAGTGAGTTACAAAAATATAGGAGAACAATAAATTTACTTAGGTCGATGAGCTCGGGGGAGCGGCGGTTCTGGTTAGCGGTGCGGGGTCATGAAACTTAGGGGTTTTGGAGGTTTAGTACTGTGACCTTGTGAAATCATTTTTGATACAGACAAAAATAAATATAATGTGAGAAGTTTTGCGGACTGACATACAGCTGACATCATCGCCGGCCCTCTTCTTGTTTTCCTTCTTTTTTTACTCTTTAACACGTATTTTGTTCTATTAAATACAGTCTTTTGAGCGTCTCTATTTGTTTACTTATTGACTGATTTTTTACGAAAAGTCGATATGTAAAATGCTATTTTTAAATCATTTGTATCTCAGTTTATCAAGTACAGACTAGTCACAAAACGTACACATAAATATACCTGACCGTCAAACTGATTGATGACCCATGGAAGTCTGGCCACATTCACCCCAGAGTTCTTCGCACGTAACACACATACTCCCCGAGTACTCCATATTCCTCGCGGCAGGGTTGATGAAGTCTACTAGTAAGGAAGCGTGGTTTGTGCTCCCCAGGCAGTGGAGCCTTCTGGCTTATCGTACCTTCGTAGTTCCCTCTTTCAGCGCATTTGACTCAAGTATTATTTCTTCGAAGTATTAGGTTATTTTGTGACTGTCGCTGCTACAATTTCATTCCCTGTTTTTACCCATATTATTTAGATTTTTCCAAGATGTCAGTGACCTTAGTACTCCTCCGAGTCTAGCCCACTCCAATTTCATTAGTTTGTTAATCTTGGTAGGGGTTGTTTTAGCATAAGTTTATCTAGTATCTAGCGGACCTAGTATATCCACTTCTCTCTCTTTTTTTATTCATTCTGTGATGAAGGATTCTGTATTTGTTTTTGTTATTCCAAATATAGGCCTATATGGATTTGCAGATCCTCCTCGGCTCAGATCTGCTTTTTCGTTACCCGAAATTCCTTTGTGCCTGGCACCTAAGATATCATGAAGTTGTTTTGTTTCCCCAGGTTTTGAGGATTTTGAGATGACAAGTTTTTATGTGATATTTTTACATATGCTAATGCTTTAATATTGCATATTATCTTGTTTGGCTATCCGATCTCATGAGGATTTTTTTTTTCCAGTGTAACCTCTTTTATGATTTTCTAGGGCATGTATTTCTGCTTGAAAGACTGAAGTGTATTTGTACACAGCTCGAGGGGCGATGGGGATGCTATTTCACTCTCCCATTTACTCTAATAAATACACTCTCTCATACAAAACACAAACACATGTTTCTATATAAAAAATTCCCAATTCCCCCAAAAAGTAGACCAGGAGATCCTGAACCTTGCTACCGTGTCCGAGAACCGTTCTTAAATCCGGCGGCATTCCTACAAGCTCTCTGTATGGAGCCAAGGCATGACACGCCTCTATTATATGGGACACATCGAGCAACCTTTCTCTGCATAAGCGGCACCTGCTTTGGCCCAAAAAGTAGGTGCCCGTGTGTCAACCGCGTATGGCCAATCCTCAATCGGGTGAGGACGATCCCTTGTCTCCTGCTCAGGATCTCTGAGGGCCAGCTTCCGGTCGTGTTCCTGACTTGTGTAAGTAAAATTGTTTATTTATTGACCACCATTTTTCGTAATTAAGGCATTCCTGAAACTATTATCTATTCTCTGTGCTGTTCATTTGAGATTATGTAAGTATTTTTATGCAGTGTTCGGTTTGTAAAAAGTGGTTTTTGTATTTACTCCTATTTTCCTAAAAAAGTATGTAACTAATACTATAGAAATTTATTTTTAAAAACCTCACAAGGCCAACCTTACAAAGGATAAACCACTAAATGTAGATAATTGTAAGCATCACTAAGAAGATCATGGTCGTTGATCATTGTCAAAAAAAAGGTTTTTCACTCGGGCTTTTTTTTATACGGAATATTTTCTTTTTTGCCTTCAATCATCATTATCGTGGGCATTTGAGGACTGCCTTCCGGAGGCGACAGGGCTTTTAAAGGTCTGTTTTCTTTAATCTTGTATCTTCGACTGTGACGTGCGCCAGTCGCCTTTTCTACTCCGTGTTCATTATGCACCTTGTAATCTCGTAAAGGTAATCCCCGTTTTAAGCGTAGTCAACAGACGGTAACGAACAATAAAAAGAACTAATTGTCACATTTTTGTCTCCTTGTCTGTTCCTTTTTCGACGCAGTTATAAAACGAAAGTTTAAAAAATGTAACTTAATTATTTCCAATCGATTTTTGACGAAACAAGTCTTTTTCAAGCAATCAAGCTTAGTATAAAGGACCAACTTGTGGATCATATATTTAGAATAATTTGATCAAAATAATCCGCCAAGCCTCGCTTTTAATTACGTGAATATCGGATTTTGGAAAACATGGATTGATGCTTTTCAAAACATGAGGATACCTGTATTAATTGCGTGATGAAAAGCTACTATTATAAACAAACATACAGGGTGTCTCAGCGATATTCCAACAGCCACGTTTTTCTAAATTAAAAACAGATTTAATGTTAATCTTTTATAGAATAATTTTTGATCCTAATTATTTTAAATTTGCGTGAATTTGTTAAAACATCTCTTGTGTTTTTTGACCTACTAGTTTTTAATAGAATATGAAAACCGATATAAAAATATGTAAATGGAAAACATATTTTTGTTTTGAAGAAACGTTTGCCACTTGTCGAATTGAAGTGTGATTGTTAATTGTGTTAAGTGAATTGTTTATTAATGTAATAATTTTTCGAAAATCAAATCAAAAAGAACAATAAGGTTAAGAAGGGGAGAAAAAAGAAAGATAAAACAAGTCTAAATATTTTGTTTTTGCAGAGAAATCGCTGAAAATGTTTATAGTTTAAAAGAAAAGCTTCCGAAAATAAACACAACTATGCTGGGAATAAACGCGTTTTTCCTCTATTTTATAAATGTAAATGCTTGAAATTTTAAGTTGCAATAAAACTAGATGAAAAAATTCTTTAGGACGCTTAACGGTTTACAAGACCAAAATAAATTTATTTTAGACTTACTAGTCTTTTTTGATTGGCTTTTCTATGCATACTTTTAAATTGCAGCAGTTTTTTTAAAAATAGTGATTATGATGTAAATGCTTGAAATTTTAAGTTAGAATAAAACTAGATGAAAAGCTTTTTTAGAACGCTTAAGGGTTGACAAGACCAAAATAAATTAAAAATATTTCTTCCTCTTTGGCATACTACAGGGGGTGGTTTTTTAAACATTACTTCCTACGATTGTAAGTCATTTACATTCATTTACAAACCGAAAAATAATCGTTGCAATATCATACATTTTGGAGAAATGTATAGTGAAAGATGAAAAACTACAATTTTTTAGGCAAAACATGGAAAGGCAGAACGTTTGGAATCTTGTATCTGAAAATTTGTGATGAAAGTGGTTTTTTTTCACCTCCTGCGTCTTTACAATTATTTAAAAAAAAATATCAACCTCAATTTCATTCTTTCCCCCCTCCGCCAATGGTGTATGGTATGGTTTCGAAAACTATGGATCTCGGTACGGTCTGGATGAAAAAAGTAATTTCAATTGTTACAACCAGGCTTTCGACCTATTTTAAGCCCATCATTAGGGCAAAATTATCTTATATATTTAATAGATGGTTTCAAATTTCTTTGAAGACCGACTCAGGCCCAACATTGCCAAGGACTGTGAAGTATCTGAAGACAGACTATTCGTGAGTTAAAAAATTGGTACATTACACTTTAAACAGGAAGTTTGAAGAGAAAAAAAGTTTTTAGGTGAAATATAATATATTATAAAAGATGTTTATATACCCTCTCAGATAAAACGTCTTGTAAGTATTGTAAGTAGATCAGCAGTATATAAGTTGATTTAGAAAAAGAACTAAGCACAAAAGATGCGAAATAGGGTTCGCAGTTTTTTCTAGATTTGAGCAACTCAGCCCCAGAGTAGGGGTGATAAAAGTTTGGTGGAAGCCGTGATTTTCGGCAAAACCTCACTAGGAAATATTCAGAAGGGCAAAATATACAAAGTATATTAAGGGATAATCCCGAAGGCGAGAAGTGGGAGCGAAGGAGGTGGGGGGATGGGCATAAAGGGTTAATTCATTCCTTTAAGGGCTCAGTCGACCGACACAACCCGATAACATGGCTGCCCTTCAGACGCTCAGCATGGTGAGACTGTTCGAAATTGTTTCATGTTCAATTTAAAAACGATTTTTTTTTCAGTTCGTATTCGCCCTTCTCACGTTTCTCGCATCCGCGGAGAGCTTCTTCTTGTACAGCACGAAAAAATCGTAAGTATGATTTGCACGTTATGAACATAAGCATCATTTCACTGTTTTCTTTTCACTGTCCTTTCCAGCCAAAGGTATGGTTGATATATTATCTTGGATGTATTTTGACTGGTTTTTCGTCATGCATTCATATAATTTTATATTTTTCTTCCTGCCAGATTAGCCACCCAATTCAAACTAGCCAGATTTCTCAAATTCCTGCCACCTAGTAGCAAAAGATTTAAATTTTTCTTTCACTACCAACAAATAATTGTGTCAATTAAAAACTCTCAATTCAAAAAATTTGAAATATCAGGTACAACTATGCTGTACCTTGTAGTAAATATTTTTCTTTTTATGGATTAATATTAAGCCGTAAAAAATACTCATGTTTGAATTAAGTGCGAAATAAATTTTTTCGAAGCATAGACCAACAAACCGGCGATCTGGATTCGAATCCCGTTATAGTTCATGAAATTTTAATTAAAAACACCATGAAAAAAGTTTTGTAAAGTGAGTAATGTAAAAGGAAAGCCTACTTTATTTCATTTCAATTAATTAAGGTTTTTAGTTGAGATGAAAAAAAGTTAATGGCACGAGAGGGATTCGAACCCACGACCTTCGGCTAGATACGCCGCTGCTCTACCACCTGAGCTATCGTGACCTCGATCCACTCGGACATCAACTCCCCATCTCAACCCCACCTTATGAGTTTTCCCTCCTTTTGCCATTTTTCATCTCAACTAAAAACCTTAATTAATTGTCATGTATTAATTGGTCAAGCGGACCACGAAAGTAGTGAATTTATTTCATTTGTTGGCCCAACTTAATTTATGGGCTTGATTCAGCTGTTCGGGAAACCTAAGAGAATGGACACTTCAAGACTATTTGCCTTTTACAGTTCAGCCAATGTGTGGTGATTAGTCACCATTAATCCATAATTATTCAGAAATCGTGAGATGCGGTCTGGTGTGATGGAGGTTTTAGAAAAACATTTTCTTTATCGTGCCCACGTTTCGATCTTTATTGAGATCATCTTCAGGGCTCAAAGTGTTTGTCTTCTGTGTAATTTTGCAATTCTTCCGTGTCGTGTTTAGGGCACTCTCAATTCTCAATAAAGATCGAAACGTTGGCACGATAAAGAAAATGTTTTTCTGAAACCTACATCACACCAGACGGCATCTCACGATTTCTGAATAATTAAGTTCAGCCAATGTTGAATGTGCTATGCTGGTCGTTTTTTGGTCAAAAATTTATAAGGGTTGACATTTTCCCATGTACATGTGCTATGTTTTACAGATTTGTAAACAATTCTTCCTAATTTTCATTTGTCTTAGAGATGAAGATTCTAAAGAATCTGCAGAATCTATGCACACCAAGCGGAAATTACTTTCTTAATGATACACCTGTAAATTTTCATGAATACTTTAAGAATTCTACTATGAGACGACCGAAGGGTGTTTTTATTATAATCTGTATTCAACATTATTTACAACAGGAAAGAACTCGTTTTAGGCCCAAAAATGAAATTCTTCTTATAAACTATTTCCAATGGAACTTAGGTAGGAAGGTAAGATCGGTAAAAAGGCGTATTTTATAAAAGCTAGCTCAAGTTTTCAAATCCTTTCCACCTAATAAGAATAGTTTTTCTACCTCAAACAAATTGTATTATGTATGGTCCCAATTTTTCTTCTTTAATTAAATAATCATCATTAATCAAATATACGATTCAGTCTGACAAAAATTCAGTGCTTGATGTTCAACAAAACATCCTAAACATATTAGAGGCATATGCTAGACTAAACAACATAAAGGTAGTCCAAAATCGTTCGTCTATGAATATGATTCTATTTATTGACCATGTCCTATTAAATTATTCAAATTCCAGAATCTTTTAGTTTGCTCCGAATTTTTTAAAAATAATTTTGTTTCTTTTTTATGAGGGTATTTCACATACGAAAATATATGAACCCTGGGGGTGCCGCTGTTAAAAAAATACGTATGTCGGGTTCGAATGCAGAGTCGCTGGTTTCGAACCCAGGACCTTTACCTTAAGATCTGAGCTTCCCGAACTTTTACCCAGGGGATCCCTATCACAGAACAAAATCCAGTGCGGACCTCTCTCATTCAAGTATTTCAAATTAGATACTTATAGTATGCAGCAAATTAAAATGTTCTAAATTAGCCAGTCTATTCCTAATTAGGTGATGGAGGAGGATAACACTACGAAACCAAACATTTGCTTGGTTAATTTTATTTAAAAAAGCCGGAACACTAAAATCATCAATTGGACAGAACGAAACCAGTAGGTAGGACAACCTATACAAAGCTAGGACAAGCCAAATTCAAAAGTAATAATTTGAGCATTTATGGATTACTGAATTAATGGGAAGAGTAAGGTTGTTTTAACCTGTACAGTTTGGATATGTTGGGTTTAATTTTTGCCGGAGACGGATGTCGGGTTCGGCATATTACTGCTTCATTTAATTTTGGTGGCTTTAGAAAATAGGGATCCGCATAGTTAAGTTGTGGCAAATGGAAGAAGAACCCGTTTTGCTTTTTCAACGAGGGGTTGAAATTTTCCAGCGTCAAAGAATCGGACTAAGTAGATTTCAAGATGGAGTCCGAAGTAATGTCTATCAAATATATTCACTTGAAGACAGACTGGTTGATTTTATATAGACTCAAAACGGTTTGACCACCCATTGCATTGTATCTGTTGGGAAATAGTGCTCAAAGGACATCTCCAAACTTCGAATGTGTTTACATATTTCATAAATCGCAAGTTCTAGTTTGTTTATTTAAAAAAAATCATTTAACACAGGGAAACAATCCACCTCTTCCTTCTCATTGGGTTTTTCTTTCGAATGCGCGAACTTTTTCATTAGTTGTACTATTCGCTTGGAAAGAAAGAATCATCCCGTTCATTTTCATGAAAATATGTGATAAATACGACAGCATACAGTTCCATTTCTCATTATTGAAAATATTGGCCAATTTGACATTGTGGCCCATAAACAGAGATGAGACTTCATAACGTGATCCCTGTAACCGTTAAAGTGATTTCCCACGAGACAGCCACATAGCTTCTCTATGGTGAAGCTGAGAATGGTGAAGGCTTCCCATATCACCACGTATACTGTGAAAAGTCTTGACTTCAATGGCCGCGACTTGGTATGATTAATAATTTGGACAGATTCATCCTAAACTTTTTTAAAAGAGGCTGGCATTTATTTCATGAGTAAAGCATGTCTGCAGAGAACAATGACCGCTGCCGCAATCCTTTGATTTATCTTCTATTTTCGTCATCACTCCGATCGTTCGGCCAGTCCTTGCTTTTCAACCATCTGTGCTTACGCCAATGCAATTAGACCATGGAATTTCCCTAATTGTAAAAAAAAGTCCAACAAACGGAATATTTCGGCGCCCGATGCATCGATAGCAAGTGGTGTGCACAAGAGAAAATCCTCGTCGAAAAATCTCGCATATTCATAACAGACAAAAGCCAATTGTGTTGGATGCGAGAAACCCTTTTCAACTCATAAATAATGTAATCTTTTGACCGTATTGTTTGAAAATGACCTCGAATACACAAATTTTACTGCTTTTTCGTCAAGCATGAAAAATATGTCGGTAATATAGACTAGTTTTTTGACCAAAATTTATACGGTTTGACATTTTAGAGATTTTAGATTTCTGTGTTCCTTTCTTAACAGACATTTTCCGTAGTGTTTCATTAGCTTTATACTACATGCAGAACAATTTTCCCTAATATTTTTGCTCCAGATGGTCATTATTCTGCGGAGAACTATATTAGAAAATCTATCAGCTCATAGACAAAGTCGTAGTTCCTAACGATACAATCATCAGAGAAAATCAAACATGTTAAACGACTCTAGAATCGTGAAATGTATCATAAAAGATAATATAAAGATAGATCAAGATCGTATAAAAGATCGCCTCGGTATCATACAAAAATTTTATTCGTAGGTACATACTACTTAAGATAACAATTTCTTCCTTAGGTAGTAAACAAGTCTAAATGAGGTTACTTGACACAAATACTTAAGAGTGATTAAATTAATTGGCTGATGCACCAAATTTATTTAGCTGATGCAATATCACTTCAAAGTTGACATAGGCCATTTTTTAACCAATTCTATAATGGGAGTGACTAACTAGAATTTAATTTTCTTCAAATAAACATTCTTATAGTTTTATAAAAAATAAATTATTTAAATTCTTCATACGATATCCAAGTTTCTGTCAAATCAGCCAGGCGTATATTGCATCACAAATTTTGTCAATGGTTGATTTAATATTCGACAATTTTTTTTATCTCGAGTAGTCATCTTCACTTCCATAGATATCGGTCAATACATTTTTTTATGATGCAAGGAACGAGTGAAAATTATCTGGATAGATTGATTATTTTTAAATATATTTGAAACACATTGATATACATAGTTCAATAATAATTCTGAAAAATGCAAAACTAAACATTCTTTCTTTCCGAAGTACAATCATACCGCGTATCTTAAATTTTAAAGAAAGAAGAGAGAAATAGCTATGTTACCAGAGGAGCTTCTCAAAAGAAGGTAGAAGCCAATGATTTCACATTGAAGGTAGTCTGGAAAGGTCAGTCCTCAACAAAAAACAAATTAACCATACAGCAGGTCCATGGGAAAGAAGGAATAAGAGGCTAGTGAAATAGGAGCCGTTTTACTAATACTTAGTAGGTCAGGAACATAAGCATACAAATAATTTGAATAGGGCACGACTAAAAATTGGACGTTTTTTAACTTCGAATCTTTATTTAAAAAAATCTAATATCTAAGGGAAACTTATTCATCGATCTCTAAAATTATTGATTATAAGCATCTTTTATGTTACAAAATACTCTTATACTTCAATTCAACTGTTTTTAATTAAATTAGTCACTAATTTTTGGTTAAGTAAATAACCACCTAAAGCCAAATATACAATATTCCATGTGGGAGAAAGCAAGGAATGAAATTTTGTCTATTTATTTTGAGTCACTGTTGGATTGCTGGATATTTTTTAAAGTAAATTTTAAACTCAAAGCAGGCAAATTTTCAACACCCCACATCATATGTTTTCATATAAACGGTCTTAAGCTTTCTGTAGTCCTACCGTCAAATAGATTTTCCAGAAAGATATTTTTCACCTTTCGGTTCGTTTTTCTCCAAAACTGTTCATCACACTGAAACGATTCATTTATCGTTTTGTAGAGAATTAATGAAGGAAAATTCATAGCAAGCAATGTTCAACAAACATTTCTATAAAAAAGGGGTAAAAGTTTGTACGACTTAATGTTGTATCTACGAAAAAACCACCTAAAGCCAAATAAACAATATTCCATGTGGGAGAAAGAAAGGAATGAAATTGTCTATTTATTTTGAGTCACTGGATTGGTGGATATTTTTTAAAGCAAATTTTAAACTCAAATCAGGCAAATTTTCAACACCCCACCATCATATGTTTTCATATAAACGGTCTTAAGCTTTCTGTAGTCCAATCGTCAAATAGATTTTCCAGAAAGATATTTTTCACCTTTCGATTCGTTTTTCTCCAAAACTCTTCATCACACTAAAACGATTCATTTATCGTTTTGTAGAGAATTAATGAAGGAAAATTCATAGCAAGCAATGTTCAACAAACATTTCAATAAAAAATGGGTAAAAATTTGTACGACTTAATGTTGTATCTACTAATTGACGATTTAAAAAACTTAGCTGGGAATTATTGCTATACTAAGAGAATAAAAAAAGTTGCAATAGACCAAACTGATTTGTACAAAAATATGCCTAAAATAAATATTTTGTGTTTATTTTTTTAGACTGTTCATCTGCTTATCTGCTTAGAATACTTGCAGCAAAGATTATGTTTCATCTGATTGACATATTTGCAACCTTGTATAATATCTTTCAATTAATTAAGGTTTTTAGTTGAGATAAAAAAGCCAGTGTCACGAGCGGGATTCGAACCCACGACCTTCGGCTTGATACACCGCTACTCAACCACTTGAACTATCGTGACTTCGATCCACTCGGGCACTAACTGCCCATCTCAACCCTACCTTTTGAATTTTCCCTCCTTTTTGCCATTTTTTTTAAATTAATTGAAAGATGTTAATTGGTCAAGCGGACCACGAAAACTAGTGAACTTGTATAATACGTTTTAACCAAATTCTATTGTATTCAGTTCAAAACACTTTTTAATCAATTAGACAAATATTTTTGGTAAAAAGTCACCTAAAGCCAAATACCATATACCATAAGGGAAAAAGAAAGGAAGGAAATTTTCTCTAATTATTTTGAGTCACTCCCCCCACCTCACATATTTTCATATACGCGTTCCCAAACTTTCTGTGGTCCAATTGTAACACTTCTTCGAAGTTCTTCATGACATTGAAACCGTTCTTGTTTCAATTTGTAGATGAATAATAGACAAACAATTGCCGGGGACGATTTTAAACAAATCACCGTAGGAATGGGTAATTTTTTTTGATAATATTCTCAAAACCTGATAAATTATGTCACAATTGTAGGCTATGACCAAAACTTAATGATTCACTATCATAAAAATACACATAGCAACATACATATTCATTGTATACTTAAAAAATAAAACAAAACAAACCGAATAGGTTTTGATAAAGTTGTATGGAAAATATGGCAACGTTGTGGCTTCTTTTTGAAGAGCTCAGTAACCTTGCATAATTGCTGAAATTTTTGGTAGTTGAACAGAAAGTACAAACCCTACTTAGTTGCGTACTAAAAAAAAATTAGTCCAATAGAATTACTGGATTTTGAGACGGTCAAACTGAAAAAATGAGAATTTTTTTGGCTTCTCTTTGAAGTAACTAAATCGCCGTCATAAATATTGCTAATGTTTGAAATGTTCATCAAAATAAAAATTAGCTGAATGAACGCGGGGCAATACATAAACACTTTTTCTTCCGCAAAACTGTCACTACACCCTAAACTTAAGAAAATAAGTAAATGGACTTACCATTGTTTTTTCATGTTTCAGTGCACAGGAAAGAGGTCCGATGCCACCTCAGTACTTCAGAGAGACGACGCCGGCCCAGATGCCCTGGGGCCATCCACAGCAATTTACATTCGACGGATCTGGCCCGGTTACTGTCGCACTTCCCGTAGCTGTGCCCATTCAACCTCAGGTAATATTCACCGAACTATTTCACTAAAATAATTTCAAGAATAAATCTCAGTACTGAAAATCAGATTTATTATTAATTTGTTATTTTAGTTAAGTTAATAAGTTTAAGCTTGATAAGATACTTTACTAAAATTTTGTGATAGACTAGTTTACACTTAAATAATCTCACCACTAGTTAAAAAAGTAAAGTAAATATAGATAAGTTTAAGGTTAAAGTTAAAGGGTTTTTTATGATCGTACGAGCGAGTGATATTGGTCTATTGTGCAATCTCCATTATTATCAAGAGCTCTTCGTTAAGCTCAAGTCTTTTTATCAGATCCCAACGCTTTGTCTATGACTTTCGTGTGTATCCTTCACTTTTTGAAGTGCTTTTCCTTTTCCTGCGCCTTCACACCAAACCCGCAAAAAGTTTAGGTCCGATAAGGGATGGAAATGCTCATTGCCCCTCAACCTTTATGCCTTGGTAACCAAAGTTAATTTTGCTGCCCCCATGTCTGGCAAGCAGGTAAACTGATAACTAAATTAGTTAAGGCACTTAAAATAGACACATGGACTGCAGTATTGATGATATTTATACGAGACTGAAAAATGCTTTCTAAGACTGACTTTTTTCAAAGTCTGGCCAGGTGGGTCCAAGGAGGACCTTTATTTGTTCTATTTTGCATTCGTAAAGAGATTATGAAAGATGTCGTCGTGAAACACCCAGCTAGAAAACATCGGACTGTTAATGTTGTGAAGTAGATGAAGGAAAGAATTAAATTTCCTGTCTTTTAGTGATCCTATTTATCAAATGTTGTTTACGAACTTCAACTTCTCTCTTTTGAAATGGTCTTTATTTTTGTTTCGAAGCTGTTCTCTGCCTGACGATGGCTCTTTCCCATCTGTTGGTTATAGAGCAGCTATTTTGCTATGGGGAACTAAATCGATTGCTGGAACAAAACGAGGATTTTGAGGCGTTTTATTGACATTTGTAATTCTCTGTCAATCATGCTATTAATTTGGCCCTGTTTAACAACGCATCCTTTTAAGCCAACGGGACGATAAACACTTTTATACGTGATGGAAAGAGGGCTCAAGACCAATTTTGCTCGAGTGATGTCCAATGATGATGTCCTTAGATTAGAGCAGACAACCTCAAAATGTGACTTATCTTTTTGCTTGTTCTGGTTCTTTATATAGCATTTCTTCTCTTGGTCTTTTTTAATATCGGTCTCTTTATCTTGAGATTTTATCGACATAAGGGGATACAATTTACTCCTAGTTCTTCTTAAATTTTCAGACCATTGAAGAACCCATCCAAAAGAGTGGCCCTAAGACTGATCCCTGAGGGTATTCTCGCCACATTTTCAGTTATATCTTTATTTTTTGTCATTCCAGCACTTGTTTCATTGAAATGGCACGAGATCAGGTTGTAAATGTTTTGGGGGCAGGCTTTCTTTTTTGTTTGATCATGGGTCGACTTTTCCATTGATAAAATAATTGTAAGAACTTTGTTTAAAAACAGTTGAAATGATCCCAGAAGATTCTGGCTCTAGGATGGGAGAGAGTGCTTCCTCCTTTACCATGTCGTAGATAAGCAGGTTGGAAAGTTCGATAAATCCATGCCCAATAGGTCGATGTCTCCTAGGCAAAACACATCATTTTTGCGATAGCCAAAAGTTGATCAGTTTTATTCTTCTATTAATACTCAGTAAATACACTTTAACAGCAGGATTAGGAAGAAAAATCTAAAACTGAATTTTATCCCCTAAAAAAAAGAACATTTGGTACCATTTGGTTTAAACTTCCCTTAAAAAATCCTTACGTCTCGACTGACTGATTATATGAAAACGTTATCATCGTGTAAATAAACTTACAACTGACCAAGTCGTTTAATGAATTACGAGTGTTCGTTTAATTGGTTTATCGTTTTTTAATATGTGCTGAGAGGATTAACCACTTCAGTAATTGATCGATGTTTCAGTCGAGATTTCTCATCGTTAGTTTTTCTCTTCTTGCCATTTCCAATTTAGGGTGGGAGGTTAAGCGTTTAAGCGTGCTAAATGAAAAATCATCTTTTTACTTTCACATATCTTCGTCAGTCTGGCATGCGTTAGTCGATGGGAGAATTGTCGACCTTCTGCTTGTTTTACTTTTGACCTTCAGTTAATAATTAAACTGAATTGCAGTGAAAATTACCTTAAGAAAAACAAAATAACGAATAAATCCATGAAATACTTGAAAGTACGAAAATGGCGGAATTTCTTTGCTACACTACTTTAAACTTCTCCATACAAAATGTAATTAATGCTAGACTGATGCGGAGACACTATTAGGACTAACTGGGCTTAATAATATCCAGATTACAATTGCAACTTTACAATTGTACTTATCTTAGTAAAGCTTTTTTGTTGCAGTGTGATACATATATTTACAATTATTTTCATAGTTGATCGTATTGAACGGGGCAAATAATCGATATTATTCTCCCATTGCACTTCACGCCAATAGTTCATTATTATTTCTCAAAAAGGATGATTTGTGGACATTTCTGCTTGAGACAACTTATAGAATTCCACAGACGAGATCTGTCTGACAAGGCTTGGGCAAGTATATCTAAGAATTTTGGATTGAAAAGATCAGAAACTTTGGATATTAGAAGGTTTAGCTCCATGGTCCTATACTGTAGGTCATTAGAAACTCCTGGCCGAGTGGCGGTTCTGGGTTCAAAACCTCCTTTGTAGAAGTAGGAGTTTATTGTTTGTCACTGCTAATTCACTGTATTTCTTTTTCCCGGTCTTTTTGGTACTGTGTACTCCATTGTGCGTATCCATTCGATAATTTATTGTTGGATAATTTCTTCTTCTCCATAGCATATGCTACAAATGTGGTTATCATAAATAACTTGTTGAGCATGTTTTTTTTTCTCAGATACCATTGAAGACTTTACAGTCATATGAGTTTTACCCTGATTAGCTATGTGCCAGTTTTAATAAAGGTTCTTTTACCATACGTTTACTGTGTGTGGCAGCTGTAGAGTTAGTCCGTTTCTGTTTTGTCTAAGACCCATTCTGAGATAGAGAACCTGTGTTTGATCTAGGAATCCTAATTGTAGGTTCTGGGCACATGCTCATTTTAGACACTTTGTCTCTTTGTTCAACCCTTTCAATCAAATAGGACATATCGAGCAACCTTTCTCTACATGCCGAACACACATCCGGGCCAACCTCCTCACATGCCCTATTTATAATCAGGTGAGGATGATTCATCTAAGAGTGAGAACCTCCGAGTGCCACCTATCTATAATGATATTGAAATGAAGAAAAATAATGGTCTGAAAGGCTTATTATTAAAGATTGAACTAAAAAATCCTTTTGTTCACATTCTGAGAATATAAACTTGAAACACATACATACCTAGCTTGTAGAATATCCTTGCTAGGTTCAATCATATTAGTGTATTTTTTATTAATCCCAAATTTTTAATTTTTTTCCAGCTTGCTCCGATGCCGACGACGCTTAAAGGTATGGTCCACAATGTCCAGCTGGTGCCCTGCCTATGCCCAGTGTCCAAGGACCTTCCGGAGAGTGTCCTTCAGCAGCAGCAAGGCTCTTCGCCGTACCTCGTTCAAAGCAACCCTCAGCCCACCACCACTCAAGCATAACTGAAAGAAAATCAAATTATTAGAATTTGTTTATGCTATTTATTATTTACGCTTGAGAAACTCTGAAGACTGATATGAGAGACTGATGTTTTTATTTTTCTATCTATGTTTTTTTTTTTTATACGGCAGAATATATATTGTGAATTTTAAGTCTGGTCTTTTTCTTTATCCTACTTAAGACGATAAATAAATTTAAAATCGATACATCCTGAAGGATTACCTAGGCGTGCAGCTGGCGCTATGTTAAAAAATATTACTTATAGTTTATTACACCTTTTTTAAATTAATTGGGAGAGTGAAGGTTGTATGGGTTGAAATGTATATTCTTTTTTTCACACTAAGATTCACTGGGGTGAGGTGTTGAAAATTTCAAGTCGATACGACAAAATTTGGTTAAGAGGATTATTGTCTGAAAAGGTTAAGGTAGTGGCTAGAGGATCGGATGGGTTGTCAGCTGGTAAAATGTGAAGGCCAGAACACCACCCTGAGACACACCAGAAGGATTAGTTAGTTTGAGGACGACGCCGACCGATGACTCGGAAGTACCGAAGTAAGGTCAATGAAATTGCTTCGACAGATAAGTTAGTAGATAGAGGGGAGCTTTTAATGCTGTATTACGGTCAATGTATTATGCTGCGCAGCTTTGTGGTTTTTTATACGGAAACTTATACACTTCAGCCTGAAAATGATTTTGACTCAATTTTCATTTTCGTACTCTCCTGCTAATAGTTCCTAAGGCATTCTACGGCATAGGGTTTCACACTATCAACGTCTTAGACCAAAGGTCAGGATAAAAGTGATTTAACCATGAAATTCACTCACTAAACACAGGCCGAGAACCTCCTAGCTACTTTCGGACGAATAAAAACAATAGCATGTATCAAGCAGGCAAGGAAGAATGGTTGAGGAAGATTGATATAATATAACACGGTACGTACAAATTCGGCAAGGAAGCAGAGGAGACAACAACTTCATCCACGATACACCATCTGTAAGAGGCTTAACCTCCAGCTGAAATTATGTAACAATCGAGGCTCCTAACTAAACTTTTTCACATTAGAATTGTTGAACCTTTTAAAAAACAGTACGACCCTCTGATTTAGCAAAAATCTGCTTGATAAACGAGGAAGTAAACATTCCACTTTATCACTGAGTGTCCTTTACTGGCAGCTTATCAAGTCGGAAAGCTTTTGTTTCGAAAATTTTTTAGTTGAATCGTTGTAAAATGTCTTCGATCTTGTTTTCTGTTAAACCAATTGATCAAGAAAATCTTGTACAGTTTGAAGGTTTCCATTTGCGACTTTCGATAATGATAGGTCTTTCTCTTTCTACGTTTACTTATCGTGGGTATTTGCTGAGTGCATCTCTCTTTTTGGATGATCGAATTCAGGCTTTTCACCCCGTATTTTATAGCTATTTCCATTGTTGCAAATGCGATCGGGCGTACAAGTGTTCTACTGCTGTTCGATTCTAGAGATGAACCTAATGAACACCAGATCAGAGTTGCATAACGATCTGAGCACTATTCAATATGCAAATTTGTCCGGTTTTATCAGACGGTTAACTGCCACTTTTACTCTACGTCACGGTTATTTTTTCCTTCAATATTCGACTTTCTTGTTATATCTTTTGACAAAACATTCTTTTTACCACAAAAATTTATATTAAGAATCGCCATTGGACTCTGTACGCCCAGGAAGGTACAAAGCCTGAATGGAAGGGTGAAAGAAAAAGGCCATAAAGAATTGGAAGAAACAATATTTTATAAAAATGGTGTTCTCTTTCGTTGTGCCATTTTGTTAATATTTGGTCTAGATGTTTGTTAGGTGCACATTATTTATGACTTAACTTGTGATTTTTCCTTCTTGAAGGTGGGATAATAGGTCATATCAAAAAAACCACAACCAGTTTTTATCCACAACGTTTTGGATTTATTTTAATCCTTCCTCAGGTGAGTTAACGCCTATAGACAGAACAAATATTTCTTACATTTTTAGATCAACATGGTTATCATTGTTTCTTCACTACTTACAATGGTTAAAACAGTGGTCATCAGTCATTAATATTTTATAACTGTTTATTTTAAAAAAAGAGCCAGTGTGGTACATATTTACGTCTTTCAGACGCCGAACAAACGTTTTAATCTTTTGAACCTGACTAATCTGTGAACTGTTTTAACATTTTGAACTAGTCAGGTTCAAAATATTAAAACGTTTGTTCGGAGTCTGAAAGACTTAAATATGTACCACACTGGTTCTTTTTTTAAATAAACTGTTATAAAATATTAATGACTGACGACCACTGTTTTAACCATTGCGTTAACTCACCTGAGGAAGGATTAAAATAAATCCGAAACGTTGTGGATAAAAACTGGTTGTGGTTTTTTTGAGATGACGTATTATCCCACCTTCAAGAAGGAAAAATTATAAGTTAAACTGTTGAGGTCGAAATATAAAAAAACATTTATGACTTATGCATTTAACTGCGTCATACTACATAACAAGCTGTATTAAATAATTGCTTTTTATTTTACGACACTGGGCCAAGTTATTTGTTGAGATTGTTAAATGAATATAAGGGAAAAATAAAAATAAACTGTAATCGACCTGATTGTACAATGACAAACGCAGAGATAAGATCGAGGTTAAGCAGACCCTTAGATTACAATGTTAAGAACCATATAATTGATATAGTGCACTGGCCATGGTCGTTCAGGAGCTGAATGATCTCAATATTTATTTTCATTGAACTTGACACCATAAGGCTTCCAAATTGTTGATAGGTGGTCATATTAAAAAAAAAAAAAATGTTTCGAAGTCTAATGAAGAGGATGTTCTGTCTCTTATGCTCTTATTGAGCTCATCCCTGATCTCTTTTTGACAAATATTATTTATATTCAGTTAATTTTTGAATAATATAACTGCTCAAAAATGAATACGAATATTGCCAATTTTGTAGTACTTACTTTCCCTAGCATTTTTATTTTATTTTTATCATAAAAAAATTATTTAGTCAATTTATTAAAAAATCTTTTTACTGAAGGATATTTTAAGTAAGGGATTTCGAAAAATAACAAAATAAAAGGTTTTAATTTCATAATTTTGTTTATGGACAGAATAATTTTTTTAAAAATTAATACGGTGTATAATGCCCTCTGTTAGCCAAAACCTCTGTGCACCTGTTGGGCATACTGGTAGTAAGGTTCTCTCTAATTTCTTAAGAAATTTCACTCGATTGCAGATGTTGCAACGCTGCACTCAGTTGTTGCAGGTCAACTGGCTGCGGATGGTGATCGAAAAGCCTTCTATCCAACACATCCCACATATGCTCATTGGGATTAAGGTCTGGAGACAATGGGGGAAGGGTTAGATGGAAAATTCCCAGGTTTTCTAAACATTGATGAACAACTCTGCCTCTATGAGGTCTGCCAATGTCATCCAGAAATCGAAAATCTTTGCCAATGAGAGGTTTTCTTAGGACATAACGGACTGAGATGAGGTTGCTTTCCACAATATGAAGTCCAGTTTGTCTCGGACGATAGGAAGCGTATAGCGTGCAAGGATGCTAAGACTACGGCTACCTAATCCCTCGAGATGCGTTAAGGGAGTTGCTTGCTTGAGAGCTGGCCGCGAACGGCGGGTGCTGCACCAGAGGCACACGCGGGTCAGGGTACCAGATCCTGTCTATATATATTTATATATACGGACGGAGGAGGGTGCATAACAATCTGAAATGCAGGGCAGCGAAGTTTCGTTCGCTAAACCGTTCAGTTCTCGTGGTAATTGCTGGACTAGAAACTGCATATAATAAATTATTAAAAAGTCTCGGAAACATTAACGCACGTTGTCGAGCTTTATTATCATAACTCAGAATAACTCTGATCCAGCGATGCTTTAAAAAAGTCTGCTCTTATAATAATTTTTACTTTATGAAAACAAGCCGAGAAGAAACGGAAGGATAAAGACGGCATGAAAACGAAAGTCTTATCAAAAGGGATCATTTTGTTTTGTTTTATATTTTGGTTGTTGGGGATAACGTAAATAGAGAAAACTCACATTTTTGTATGATATATCTGTATAAATAGTCGGAGAATCGCATTGAGAGGTCGAAAATTACGAACTTTCTCACTGACCCTTCGGACCCGGGGTCGTACATATGATTGGAATAAATTTCTACAATTCTCCTCACATTTTAACATGACAGATTAATTTATTGAGGAAAATTGACCAAAATTAGAATTTCTGTCTGTTGTTTAATGAAGATTCCCTCTAAATGAAGGAGTTCACTAAAGCACCTTCTTAAGTTTTTATTATTCTATTTTTTTTTCTTTTAAGAATTTAGTTACATTTTTTAAACTTTTGCTAAGATTACAATTGTAGCTTTTTTTCGAGAGTTCGCAACAAAAAAAGGTCATATGTAAGCCAGTGTTTTTGAAAAAAAAGCCCATTAAATGATTACAAATTTTGTAAGTATGTCGGGTTCAAAAGCAGGGCTGCTGGATTCGAACCCGGGACCTTTACCTTACAGTAATGAGCACCGTGTCAACGCCTAAACCGTCGCGGCCACCGACGCCCCAAGATTACAGTATATTATAATATATTGTAATTTGTTTAGATTTAAATAGATTTAAGCACAATGATTCGAAATAAAAAAAAGAAATGAATATGGTACAGAAAATCTAGTTATGTTTAGGCGTAACAACGATCTGAAATGTACAGGGTGTTTAGAAGATTCTTTAAACGTTAAGATAAGTTCCGTTAAGTGTTTTTCTGTTTTCTCCTTTCGGAAGATCGTCGCCGGTCAGGATGGTTCCCCTAAATCGCCATCTCAATTATCGGTTTAATTCCCTCGTCGCCATATGGAAAATGGACAGAGGGTCCGAGGGAGAGCTCGGGTCAGTCGACGGATGCCGTCCTTGGGTCATCCGGATAGGTCAAGACGATAGTTTTCACTATTTCGCCCGACGACACGTCTTCCGGTGAGATCGGCACCACGCAAATGTTTTCATTTTCTCCACGTGGGAACGGCACGAAAGGAACAATTCGAGTTGTTAAAGGCGGGCCAGTTCTTCGATGATTGCGTGAAACGTTATTACAATTGAACCGGAGGATATGCACGATATGCGCTCGAAAGCGTAGTACTGGCATTCT